TATCTACGAGTCGATAGCCCATGAGGCAAAAGGCCGTAGACCATAGAGTGCGAGAGGTGTAATTGTTATTTAGTCTACTAACTGAATAGAGATAATAAWAAAAAAAAAAACGCTCTGTACTAATTACCACAAACTACAACTTTTTTTATCTACGTACAAAAAATTTATTCAGTGTTATTAAAAAAGTCCCACTAAGCCTAACGAGGCATTACGTTGCATATTAAAAATATTATCCTCTTTCAACACACCTCTCTTATTTATAAAATAATTAACAATATATAATAAATGTCTAATTCACGTTTATGTGAGCTTTTTCTACAAGAATCATTTGATGAAATCATCCATGTTTATACRAGAAATAGAAATGAATATTACTTCGATTCAAAGGTAGACCTTACTCAAGCGGCAGCCATGTTGACACGAACAACACATTTTCCCCGCGAAACCTCGCATGAAAGCGTTTCAGAACGAGGTAAAGCGGGACGTTTTTTTATTCTTGATCATGGCAATGAAAATGGCGCCCTGTGATCAAGGTCGAGGGTAATACAAACAACATCTGATATGTAATCTATGGCGTAATAATTTCGCTAATAGAGAGTTTTAGATTGACTTTTTTTCTCCCGTTTTCATATAGTTTTCCTATATTTTACTTTACCTTTTACCAACCTTCTCACCAAGCGCAAATACTCTTTTGTTTTTCTACTACTTGGACTTTTTTGCGATTCTTTTTCAGTAATTTTWWWAAAAAATTTTACTGGTCAACTRACGTTTCACGTTTGCCGTGAACGTCAATCTAAAACTCTCTATTAAGTAGTACAATGTCGTTGCTCGCGTATTACGTACCGCAGCTTAAAAGGAAACTGTTAATCTAAAGCAAAAAAATTAGTTAAATCCATGACATAGCCATGTTGTTGGATACTTGTTCAAACAAGACCAAGGTCTCTTGCTTTGAGCACCTTATTACTTCCTGTAACTAGACAATATTATTACAGTATAATGTGGTGCGCATGCGCACATCGAGCTACATATCTTTTATCTATATATCTTGAATTTTGAGTGAATCTGGATAACGAATGAAGCAGTTGCACAAGAACGACTTTCTACAACCTACACATAAACAGAAATAAAGTTAAGACAATGAGCTCCTCATTATATTTGAACTAAAAAACTATTCGACASTGATAAGGGGAGGGGTGGGAAAGTTTACGAATTAAAGAAAAAGGGAAATTCTAGAGTTTGCGATAAACAAGTAGCTGTAAAATCTTAGGTTTTAGAAATCAACATTTTCAATGTGCATCTCATTCAATTCCCGTTCCAAGCCTGATTTTTTTTTTCACCCTCAGAAGTGTAAGGCCCTATTCACTTACTTATTTAAACAATGGTACCGTTAAATTCCATGGAGAGAGGAAAGGTTGGGCACGATTTGCCCTATTTGACGGGTTATTYATCTGAGGCAACGAAAAGGGATCGATAAAAAGGTAAGACAAAATAAAMAATAAGAAAAAACGAAAGTAAAGAAGGTGGATAAAATGGAAAGTAATGGACGACTTCGATAATGTGACGGCCATCTTGAATCGCAAGGAATTATGGGTCACCCAGGGGTAAAAAAACAAGACAAATATGCTCAAATGACGACTCCACGATCTTTGAGAACTTTACTCAGCTGTGGAACTGTCCATTTTTTAGTTCATCTCTTGTCAAATTTTCTTGTTGTGAACTGTTGATGTTAATGTAGACATCATTCAAATAATAAAGCTTTCCAGCTGATCTAAAATATAGTGGCGTAGAAATGACGTCACTGCAAAACTAGGTCTCATGTCCGAAATTTTCTCGATTCTGAWTGGTTGACATTTTTTCTCAGAYCAGCTGGTCGTATATTTGCCCCCTTGGATGACCCGTAATGCCTTGCGGTTCAAGGTTGCCRCCACATTGTCGAAGTCSTCAATCGAGTGATGGGAYAAGGAACAAACCATTGCAAACCCTTTACTTTCCTTATCCTCTTTATCTATACCTTTTCGTTTCTGGTTCTCCCGGCATTTCTATTCTCTTCTTTCTTCTATTCCCACTTACCCATTTATTTCTATGCTGAATCCCACTTTTCATTCGCTTTTCAGAAGATTCGCTAACATTTCTCTTATTTTTGCGTCATCTTTCGTAACATATTCTTCGTCCTTCGAGCTCTGGCGTTTGGCATCACTAAGATAAAGCAATGTCAAAGATAAATGAAACTGCGAACGCTAGTGCAGAATTTTCTGGCGCGACTCGCCGGGACCTCAAGTCCGTTCGCTTGCCYGTCATCACGCTTCATCACGACAGTCCGTGCTAATCGAAAATCATTARCGACCTTTAAATACGACGACGAGTACGAGTTTTAAAATTTGTTCTGTGCACGTGGTTATAATTAACACTAAATCGTAGTCGATTTCCGAWTTTTTACAATCTAAAGTTTCAATCCACGTACACTATCACGACTACAAAAAGATAGTGCCTCTCTTTAAAAGTTAAACACTCGTACTTGTTCTCGTACTCGTCGTCGGATCGAAAAGGTCTCTAATGTTTACTATATCTCCGAAATCACGACGTATCACGTTTTAGAAATGTTTCTCCGACTTTTGATAATTTACTCCGTTGCTCTGTTATCCGTTCCTAAAGTTAAATGCTACTAAAATATCTGTATTTAATACAAACTCGAAGATAAAATAAAAAAGGCAACAACTCTCGAAATATGGAGTACCTTTTGCATGGTCACGTGACCTGTKARTGCAAGTCGTCCATTGTAATCTGGCCAATTGATTGGCTGGGGCYTGTGCTGTATGAAAGTGTACAGCACGCTCGCGTAAATTTTTTTGGCATCTGTATATTAAACCAATAAATGCAATTGAAATATTACACTCACCGTCGGCGGCTCAAATCGTTGTCTGTCTTAGCAACATGACCTGCAAATGTGCGATTCCAAAAAGTTAAAGAACAATAAATAAAAGCAGAAAGTACTCAGATTGAAATATTTGATTGCTTTAATTTTTACTTACTTTCACTGGATTTTGTCATAAATCGACGTCCATTTCCATATACAAATCGCTTTTCTAGTGACTCTTCTTTAGGTTCTTGGTTTTCCATGGATCGACGTCCCGTCGTCCCATAGACANAATCGCTTTTCTATGATACCTTTGCGGCCAAATTCTACCATGTCCTAAAACATAATTTAATAAATGAGCTTTATATTTCTAGCCTARCTTTAATTTTTAAAATAACAATCTTAGGCATTAATAAGAAACAAYTAAATTTYTATTTCGGTYTTAGCCTCCTYCGCAGGCTACCCCAAATATTGTCTGTTGGGATCCCTGTGTTAAATTATTTGGCAGAGAAGGACTAGGGACACCGGAAACCCGAGGAGCAAAAAGAGCCAAGGAAATGCCCTGAAGTAAATAATGACGRCCTTACAGAGCTCTGCGGTCTCACGAGCTTCAAATCGCAAAATTGACGTTTTCTTTATGAAATGACCTGTGACGTCATTTATTCGCTGAAAAAAGCAATCTTATACAAGTTTGCCAACGCAAACAGTATATATGAACACGAAGAAAGAGTAAGGAAGATTGCCAARGACCAGAAAATATAACGAATCAAAGATCCTTCAGAATTGCAGAAAAAGAAATGTTTATTCCAYATCCTGGTGCACGAGGACATCGATAAAGCAGCGTTCTTCAGGCACAGCTCTTGCGATGTTTGGGTTAGTAGGTATTGTGGAAAGTATATAAAAAATCATTKAGGAGGCCATGAAAAGGAAAACGTAGCTCACAATACAAGGGGAAAAGATCGGAAGTGGAAATTAAAAGTAAGATCGATTACTAAAAGGTATTCCTTGTTTTCTTTGTTAACAATCATTGTTGTGATACTTATAAACTTTTTAAACTTTAAACCATGTACAACTTTGAAGGAAAAAAAATGGAAAAAGCTAACCGAAGCTTTCGTTCTTGATTAATGAGAACTTCATCAGAAGTTGAGTCACGTGAGTGTATACACACACGACTCGAGTAGTTTGTCCACTAAACCCCTTGCAGCACGTTGTAATGCAGCTCAATTTGGAGAACATAACAATAGGTTTCCAATTCTCAGGAGATTGAAATTCTTTTGTTTTGTCCTCCAAATTGAGCGGCTTTGGCGTCATATGCAAGGGGTCTACAAAAGACGTGCAGTGGATGGTGGAGTCAAGTGTCGCTCTCGTGTTCTTTCGCGTCGCTCCTCGTCGTCTTTCAGCATGTCGCGTATTTTAGAGTAGAATTTCTAAAACGGAMAATAGTTTTATATTTCTTTAGCGCCTGGTCTGTCATAGGTTTCTAGAGTTACGACGCCGCTGTAATAGCCGTATCCGATACGCAATTGACGATGATAACTTTGGAAAGGAGCACGGGCTTGAGATTACTCCTGCAAAATGTTTCAGGTATTTTGCTTAAAATCGATCGACCCTGGCGACAGATGAAGTAACGGGAAATAAACGTCTATGTACMTAACTCATGTTTATTTGTAGTAAAGTAGAGAGAATAAGAGAAAAATATCAAATTCGTGGGTTCGAATCCTGCCAAGGGCATTTGATATTTTTCTCTTATTCTCTCTACTTCATTATATATACACCGAACGCATAATTTATTACTACTAT